TCATTTCACGTTGTTTTGCAGAGGACGGCAAAGAAATGTACAAAGATTTATAACGCACGTGCAAAGCCATCGTTCTGATCATTAAACCTTTTATTTAGCGACGTTTTCGTTCCGTTGCCGTCGTGGCTTTCTTAAAGCTCTCGTCTGAAGACAATTTCCTTTTCAATGCGACTCATACACTTCATGTATATTTAATGTTCAGGGTACAAATGTACCATATCAAGCTTATTTACCCTTAACAAAGTCTAACTGGTATTTGTTTAACAAATAATCGGTCCAAGCAGTAGTTTTATCAGACCCAAACATATTCAGCACTTCCTTTTCGAGACTCGTTGTTTCTCATTCGCGAAACAATGCCAGGAGTCTGCACGGAGTCTTTGTGAGTTAAAATAAGCCATTGACGATTCAGTTCGATCCAAGTCTTCCAGTAGTATCTGATATGCTCTATACACCCACAGCAATAGGTGAAGTAACACACCGCTAAACCACAGGAGAAGTACAACACCACGCAGATTGGAGTAAGACAACGCCTTGATGCTATCCACAAAACCATGGCTATAAAGACTATTAGCACCAGGCAGTAGAACATGAACAGGTAAGCTACAATATCACACGATCGCCAGGGGAGCCTCCACTGGACAAAGAAACAAAACAACAGTGAGTGGTTATAGTGAAAAAACCTTACTAGACCTCTCAGTACCGTCGGCGTTAGAATAGAATAGATAACTTTATTTATACACGGTAAAAACATCAGGCCTTAATCACAAAACTCTAATTACATTCTAATACCGTTATGATTACAAGTTCTGGAAATTGATGGGCAAATAAACTACAAACGGAGAGAAAGCTAGGCAGAAAGACAAAGGACAAAAAGAACGAACGAATTAATGACCATGGATCAATTAATACATACCTTTAAAATATGCACAAAAATATGCAAAATATAGTCAGTCAGTCAGTCAGTCAGTCAGTCAGTCACTCACTCACTCAATCAATCAGTCAGGCAGTCAGTCACTCGTTCACTTAGCCAGTAAGTCTGTCAGTCAGGTAGTCAGTCAGTCAACCAGCTTGTCTCTCAGACACTTACCAATCAGCCAGTCAGGCAGTCAGTCAGTCAGTCACTAGTTTGCTTAGTCAAACAGTCAGTCAGTCAGTCAGTCAGTCAGTCAGGCAGGCAGGCAGGCAGTCAGTCACTCGTTCCCTTATTCAGTTAGTCTGTCAGTCAGTCAGGCAGTCAGTCAACCAGCTTGTCTGCTAGACACTTACCAATCATTCAGTCAGTCACTAGTTCACTTAGTCAAACAATCTGTCAGTCAGTCAGTCAGGCAGTCAGTCAGCCGGTCACTCGTTCACTTAGTCAGTTAGTCTAGCAGTCAGTCACGCAGTTAGTCACTCGTTCACTTAGTCAGTTAGTCTGTCAGTCAGGTAGTCAGTCAGTCAACCAGCTTGTCTGTTAGACACTTACCAATCAGTCAGTCGGTCAGTCAGTCAGTCAGTCACTAGTTCCGTTAGTCAGTTAATCAGACAGGAAGGCAGTTAGGCATTAAGCCATTCAGGCAATCAGTCATTCAGCCAGCCAGTCTGAAAGCCAGTCACCGGTCAGTCAGTGAGTCGGTCGGTCGGTCGGTCAGTCGGTCATTTAGTCAGTCTAACAGTGTCAAAAAAGCATTCAAAGAAGAAAAGAGCTAGACGGTCAAGTAAGCAAGCAAGCAATCCATTGGAAACAACCGAACA